TTAGACTGCAGCGAGTGTCGCCGACCGCCAGCGACAGTATAAATAGTTACGGCGCTTCCCGTGACTTCACGTTGTCACGCCGACAGGCTCGGTGAACGGCGGTCTACCCGAGCGCATGACTCGGTTGCAGTGGCGTGCTGCGGGGGAGCGACGCGAAATACGCAGACTGTATATAACAATGCACACACGGAAAATGAAAAAAAATCGCTATCGTTTCCCCCCGATTTTATTAGTTTTGAGATCGTTTGGCCCCAAAATCGTAATCATGATCAAGTTTCGATTAATTGAGCAGCCTTAAGTAGTGATCTAACCTAGTTTTACTTCCGAGGCCAAGCAGCATTTCAAAGTACATTATCTGTGTGGTTACAGGTTACGATGAAGACAGACTAGCACATCCTCGGGGATATTGTCGAGTGGTGTGAACCTGAACCCTCTGTGCAGGAGGTCACAAAAAGCAGCTTTCTTCTAACTTTATTTAAGTTTAATATTCTTTAACACGTTAAATAATTATCAACCGACTCCAGTTGACATTACTGAGCTGCTTCCTCTCTCTTTCTCCGTGCTGCCGGCCACAAAAATCAGTTCTTTACCTGTTTGATGGTGCCCTTCTCCAAATGTTTCTTCAAAGACTTCTTGATGAGAAACTTCTTCTTGTCGAGCTCCATCACCGGGTATTTCTTCACAATATATTTCATGACGGACTGATATGAAACCCCAGACCTGTCGTTACAAGACTGCAAGACAAAGTGGACAGGAAATCAAACCTGTTTGTTTGTTTCAAAACAACAAAAAGGATTAAAAAAAAAACAGGCACACGTGACTGATTGTTTGTACACACCGTAATAGCTTCGATGAGGATATTATCCACTTTGTTTTGAGTGCCTGCATAGTTGGTAACGGGAACCTTTTTGCTGGCAGTGACACTAGCCCACGCAGGAATCGTCCTTTTCACCTTCTTGACTTTGGCTTTCTCGTACTTGTAGCCATCCTTCAACCTGTCACCGAAAAGGAGCAAGACACAAGTTCAGTGAAGTGGGTCGGGTTCTTTCGAAGCGATATTTCACTGTGATCGTTACCACCCTTATCTTTATCACATCCTCACCTTAGTAGGAGAACATAGCAGTGTGTTGCACACTGTCCAGCCGCGCAGTCCTTGCATTTGTCACTTTGTCCGTTTGTCGCCGACGGAGAAAGACAAAATTAAGTTTCAGAACATCCGTCTTAATGATCACCATAGTAATTTGACCCTGACTGAGCTGCTGTGCTAGTGTGCTATATGCAGATGAGTAAACGTTTGCTTTGTCAAGGTCTGGGAGAAGGGAAGGAGGAGAAATAAAGTTATTAAATTTGGAAAGCCAGCTCACATGTCCCTTATACTTCACCACCTACAGCTTGTTTATTGGAATATGTGGGTGCCCGTATATTGAAAACAAAGTTATTACTTTGGGGCAAAACCAACATATTTCTCCGCATTATTCTGAGTGTATCCAGTAGATAACGCTGCTCTTTCCTTCAGTTTATCAGAAATGGACTGAACTGGTAACAAATTGTTTCCATGACGCTCACGTCCTCTCCTCCTGGACTCCTCCAAGACTGCGGACAAAAGGGGGGCCGGTACATCTGTCTAACAACTATCTCATGAATGTGCCCGTGACAGGGTCACATCTTTTGGAAATGCAAAACTGCAGCACTGAGAGGAGCAGTCTGTTGTTATCCAGCAGAGGTAAGGATCATATAAACAGATAAAAGTGCTATCAAAGTGAAATATCGCAGTGGTCAGAGTTGCGGACGAGCTCTCTGGTGAAACTCACTCTTTCTTCTCTGTCCCTTCTCCTCCCTTCTCCTCCGCCGCCGCTCCCTCGGCCTCCTCTCCGTTCTCTGTGGGCTCCGGCTCGGCCGTGGACTCGCCCTCCTCGACCTCGGCTGCCGGAGCCGAAGACGCGGCCTGCTCCTCGTCAGCAGAGGGCGACTCCTCTGAGGAGGCTTCAGGCTCTGGGAGGAGAAAGAGATTCAAATTCAAAAGAAGAAAGGGAAGAAAAAAAAGGCGCAATAATCCCGAGAATATCAACGTTAAAGTGGACGATGCTAATTTCTTGTTCGAGGTTGTGAAATCATAACAACCTCCAATATCCACATTAATGACTATATAAAGGACACGTTAATTAGTATGGGTGTTATTTAAAGTATCACGGGAAAACAACGCCCCTCTGAAACATTTGTTGTTGCAGTTTTCTGTTTTTGTTCGTTCTGCTGTCCCAAAATACACATTAGCACCCACACAGGCAACAGAAGCTGAACTGAGGGTGTTAATATTTAATGATATGCACCTGAACCACAGAGCTACCAGGGTGCATCTTCACTAAGAGCCTAAAGGTCGATGCTACTGATACAGTTATGTTGTGATTTCAATACTGTGGCGCATTATTTGGCCTTGTGACTGCTGACTGGGGCTTGTACTCTACTTTTTCTTCCTTAAATGGCTTAAAAGCGGTATTTTCTTCAGTTTAAAAAGGGGGTGTGGTGCAGCGTTATAAACTTATTTCACCCTGCTCGTCCCTAACATCCCCATTATGTTACCCAAGTCTGAATCTAAGTACCAAAACACATCTCAGTGTTGCATTCAGTCACCATTTCTCAGCTCTACAGGCCAGTTTCAGTGATGAGGAGGGCTGTAAACACACACACTGCATCCTCTCACATGGCATCTCCAGACTCTGCATGCAAACAGGCTGTGTGGTGCTGTTACGGGCCACATCTGAGCCAGTGTGACGGTGGTGCGTTCACGGGTCTCCCAGGTAAGCACCCTGGTCTAACCTTTCTCTGCTGCAGCGGAGGGGGCCTTCTCCGGGGTCGGAGTCGCTGCTGCTCGGCGAATCGGCATCACACGAGATTTAACGTTACCTGCATGAGGAGGAGGAGGAGGGAGGAGGAAGAGGAGGAGGAGGAGGAGGGATGGGGGCAAAAGAAACACGTATCCTGAAGAGCAGGAAAGCACATTGGCACAGCACTGGTTTGAGGCCCATCCTCTCGCATGTGCGTGGTTAGAAATGGCGAGAGTGCCAAACCCACTTCATTCATTTGGGGGGCCCCATTATGGTCCCAACAGGAGAAAAAGGCGCACTTGGATTTGCTAAAGCAGACCAGCTTCCAGGCGGGCGCGGCGCACTGCTCTCGGGCTTATCGCCGGCCTTTCGCCTGGAAATCGCGGTCGTATCCGTGCGAGCATCAACAAGGGAAGACACAATTTTCGGGCAATTTCGCCATTTTGTCAGTTGGCTGTTTCGCACAGTAATGGCGTCGCACAAGGCAGATAAAATTCATTTCAGTTGCATGGAGTGAAAAAAAAAAAAACACCCCCCCCCCACGTCTACGCTTCTTTTTCCAACGTCGCATCCGTGCAACTGCATGTTTAGACAATAACGCACAGATTGCGGGTCAAACTTACCTTTAACTTGTCCTGAAAAAGTGAGTTACTTTCGAGTAAATTTCTGCACGATCCTTTATTTAGATTTCCTGTTTACGAGCCCCGCCCCATTTAGGACCGTTGTCACGTCGCAGGCGTCACGGAGCGTCAGAAGGATTCCACCGTCATGGCCGTCGCCACTTTAACCGTTGGAACCCGTTTTACTCTCTTTCTGTAACATTAAAACGGTTGGAACCGTTTTACTCTCTTTCTGTAACATTAAAACCGCCATGGCCGTCGCCACTTTTAACCGTTTTACTCTCTTTCTGTAACATTAAAACCGTTGGAACCGTTTTTTCTCTCTTTCTGTAACATTAAAATCGTCATGGCCGTCGACACTTTTAAACCGTTGGAACCGTTTTACTCTCTTTCTGTAACATTAAAACCGTTGGAACCGTTTTTCTCTCTTTCTGTAACGTTAAAACGTCATGGCCGTCGACACTTAA